TCTCTCCCCTGTGCTGGGGACCCCAACACTGGACCCAGCACTCCAGATGTGTCTCGCCAGTGCTGAGCAGAGGGGCAGGATCACCCACCTCGGATTGCTGTGCTTCTCCTAATGCCACCCGGGATGCTGGTGGCCTTCTTTGCCACAAGAGTGCGTCATGGGATCATGTTCAACTTCGTATTCATTATGTATTTTACCAGTTATTTCATCCATCATTTATTACTTTAAATTATTTAATTGAATTATTAAATCTATTTTTGAAAGGTGCAAACTAGGTACTGAGTAATGAGCCTATTGTATTTTATGATGACCTGTCCTTGACATTTTCACCTGGTAACTTCACTGAGCATGAAAATTTCTACACAACCATTTCTCTCCTTAAAAAGTGAGATACATTCCCAGGAGGTCTCCATACTTCCATGTGCTTTGTATAGCAGCCTGTGGTACCTATGCTAGTTCTTCTGGATTCCAGCCAGGCATAGGGCTGCAGTTATGCAGTGTAGTTAAGGACAGCAAGGACTTCCAGCATGGCTGTGGCAAAGCTACTTTTCAAATCAAATTGCTAAAAACATCCAAAGATACGAACTGTTTGTCCTATTCTCTACTAATGCTGCTCACGCTGGAGGAGTTGACAGATAAAAGGCTACACAGAGATGATGGAGACATGCACTTGAAATGTGAGCATTTAAAACAGTAACTGGCAAAACTTTAGCACATTAACTATTCCAGACGGGAAACAACAGTTTTCTCTCTCCTCAAGACACAGAGTAGTCCAAAGCAGTGACTTCCACTCGCAACCTCATTCCTGGGGCAAGATATGTCTTCACTGAGGACAGTATGACTATATCAGCATGAGTAGGAGCCGTGGTCTTGTGACTCAGCTTTCCATTTCACCCTAATTTCCTCCCCTCCCCTCCCCTCCCCTCCCCTCCCCTCCCCTCCCCTCCCCTCCCCTCCCCTCCCCTCATATTTCCTCTGAAAAATCTCACATGCTCTTAGGTTACTGTTTAAGAAATGGCATTCAAAATAGTCTTATCCTGAATTATTGGCATTTTCATATGGCTGAGCTAATCAGGCATCTGAATGCAGTACTTGCCTTCATTTACAGTTTCTGTAGCCTATTGTAAACACTTTCTAAGCAATAAAATGCTTTAAAATGATGGCCGAGCCTTCCTACACCTCTTCAGGTTTAACAAGATAATGCTGTTAATTGTGAAATGCCAGTTAGGCAGAAGCATATCTATTGTAGAGACAAGGATCTGAGTTCAAAGCTACTTACTAGGAAACTCCATTAGGGAAATAAAGGATTCATAGTGCTCTGAATTGCCAGACCACAATGCAAAATTTCTGAGCACAGCTGGAGGAGTGATCAGATACAATAACCAGCAGAAAGAAAGAGGCATTTTACAGTGGGAAAGAAAACCTGTGGTCCCAGAGCCTTGGGAATCCAGGAGAAGCCACATGGATAGACAGGGCTGTAAGGGTTTCAAGTTTCTTTGCAAAGAAAATGGGCTCATACAGTTAGGACAGAGAAAAATGCTGCATCCCACAAGACTGTGTCTGTGGTATACATGTGAATCTTATAACCACTGCTCTGGGAACTAGAAGCCGTGTGGGGATGGGGCTGTGGTGGGGGCGTTAATGACAGGAGAAGGGAAGATGGAGCAGGAGGGATGGGATGCTGGGCCTGCATGAGGGATGGTGCAGGAGAAGTGTGACACAGGTCAAGAGAAGGCTGTGTCCCTCTGAGGTGAGGAAAAGACCAAGTCTTTAGGAGGGAGAAAGAGAAGTCTGCAGGTGCCAGGGGATGAGGGCCTGTCTAGGTGGCCTGGCTGCCTTGCTCAGGTGGCCCTTCTGCTGCAGGTACCAGCCTGTCCGAGCCCTCCAGAAGGCTTAATGCTACCAGGTAGGACCCAGTCGTAAGCACCTGCATTAACTTAGACAACCATGGGACCAGCCACAAAGCAGCCTGCCCTGACATTTCCTGCCTGGTCATGTCCCTGCAGGAGGCCCTATGCAGCCACCCCAGAGAAGTGGCCCCACCGTCAACACAATGTGCACGGCATGTCCGGTCCCCAGCTGCGCTGCCCACCTCACACCCCTGCCACCACCAGTGCCAGCACTGCTGGGGACAGGCCCCAGCACCCAAATTCTGCCAGTGGCAGTGACATCTTGGACGCTGAAAAGGGGAGAGCTTCTTCTGAGGCAGGCTGTCATTCAGTGCTAAGGGCATCAGATAATCTTGTGCACTGTCACAAAGCTCTCATTGTCTCTTATCCTCCTCCCTTCCTCCTGTTTCTCCAGGTCTCCCTGTGGAGGTGACACTGAGGTGGGCTGGCAGCTCCCTGTGGCCAGGCCAGGTGTCTCCTGCAGGAACGGGGTTTCTGCTGGGCTTGGAGTCAGGCCTCAGAGAGGTGTGGGTATGGGCACATGAGAGGGATTCAGGAGCTCCCCAGACTTTCCCAAGATCCTTTCCTCAGTGTCCCCAGCCAGCATCTCCAGATGGAGAGGAGAGATCTCTCAATTAATAATCTCCCAGATTTTGCTGAGAGTGCATTGCATTTTTTAAAAGACTTAGTCTGGTGTCAGCTGTGGCATCCAATGATTGATTTGAAGAAATGTAAATGTCTTCTTTACTGTGGATGATAAAACATGAAGCTGTAATTTTCCCACTGAATATGCAGAATGCTTTATGGTCACCAAAACAACAAAAGAAGTAGCTGAGTGACTTTGGTGATGGGACAATATGAACTCCCTCAGATATCTATGGGCAATGGGCACTGTAAGTGCCCAGAGCAGATCAGGATCAGACCCCTGGGGACCTAAGAGCATCTCTAATGGCCATGTGAAATCAGCACACCCTGGGTCAGCTCCAGGGGTGGGATAGACTGAATAGCCCCTCACACCCTTCTTCTCAGAGGTAGGTCTTTGTCTGCGGAGGTATCGATCTCAGCATTGAGAGGATCTCTTTTCCTGTGGTCAGGGTTGACAGCTCTAATTTGCAGCATAAACTGCAAAGTCAATTGTCTGCCTCAAGGTGTAAAATTCCGAGTACCTGGTGAAGAAAACTTTAAATATACCCCAAAGAATTCCCATTGTACTTCTTATCCAGGAGATGCTCTTAAGAAACAATTCTTTTTGTGTAAGGACCTTTGTGTAAGTAACCTTTCCTTTGCTACTTTGTTTTACTCTACTCTAGGGTACATTTTTTTCAGTCTCAGGGATTTTATGTGTGTTTATTGTTAATAAAAACTTGATTTATTGTGATCTCCAATGGAAAAAATAGCAAGTGTCAGAATATGGAAAGAAATTGTTGTATTTTCTGGTCTGTCTTCCCTAATAAAGTCCCTTATAAAAACAGCAAAGGAAGGATATTTTTAATATATGCCAGCTATATAACAGATATATGATAGCTCTGAAAGTCATGCAATAATTTGTGTTAGGTTTGCAGTAGTTATTAAAGCAGTGGGAACTGCTCTGAAATCTATATTTGACAGGACCAAAGAAATGGACTCAACAGAAGCTATTCCCCTATGAAAAACACTTTCTTGCGTTCTGCCCCTCTGGTCTTTTCAGCAGCCTCAGCGTTTGCCTACCTTCAGCCTTATTCTCCAGCTGAGATATTCAGCAGAGAACATAACAAGCAGTTTATTTTTCTGATGACAAGATAACTGTTTGCCATCTGCATTAATGAAATGAAAATCCCCTTCAAGAGCTAATCTTCCAGAGTACTTAAATGCAGCAAAAGACTACAGACTTTAGGAACTGAAAGAGATGGAGACCCCCAAGGCAATGAAGAAAGCAGACCAAGAAGTGATGATGAGAATGTAAATGCCTGTGGCACAAAGCTACCAGTTTATTATCTGCCTGTCCCCATTGGGCTTTTATTTTTTTTCCCCACAATTTGTGGTCAAGGGGGTACCACCTGAACCGATGGCCTTCAACTGCTGCCATGCTGGTCAGGCAAAACTGAGCAGTGTGCCTGGGTGAGGAGAGAAGACAGCGACTCTTCTCTACAGGAAGCCTTCTCCCATCAGTTCAGATCAGACAGGATGGTGGCAGAGGACATCTCCCAGCACTGGGGACTGTCCCAGGGAGCTGGCGGAGGCTGAGCCCTTGGTCTCCTCCTGAGGGAGACCTGCCCAGCCAGGACTCTGTGGTGCCTTACCAGGGTGACGAGCATACAGATGCTAAGCCTAATACTCATTAAAACCCAGCTGTCTTTCATGTACATTAGCCAATAACTAATTACCTTATACTTTTATACTATGGATATTCAGCCTTGCAGAGTGTTTCTGCACCTGGCTAACAATACCCAAACTGACACCCAAAAAAGGGACTGTAGCAATGGACACAAGAGTCAAAAACAAAAATTAAGCTACTAGTGAACTCAGAACATCAGTTGTTAAAGGGACTGGAGATGCCAGATTAAAAGCTGTCCACAAACCTTTAATTTGATCTTCATTAAGTCAGGTTTTTGTTCTACCATTCCAGCCTATTTTTCAACTGTAATCCTGTGACTCATTCATTGAACAGGATGCTCAGGGAATAAGGCAGCTATTCAAGAGTTATTTTAATCCTCATTAAGTAGTGAATGGCCCTGTTCTTTAGTATCCCACGCCATCCAAATACTGCACTGATTATGGAAACTGTTATTTTCCATACAGGCTTCCCTCTAGTTCTCATCTAAGTCTCACAAATGTCTCTATACTCTCATTACAGGTAGGGTGGGCTCTGTTAGCCCCAGATTTAAGCTGAGCAAGAGAGCAATTGTACCTGCATCTGCAAGATTTTATTACTTTGAGGAACCCCCATGGAACAGATAGGTCAAATTTTGCAGATCATACTGGGGATTTTTATTAGGATTTTGCAAGCATAACTAAGACGCTAATTAATCATATCACTTTTGTGGGGAAGGTAAGGCAGGTGCAACCATTTCTGGTTTACATGTGGGGAAAATGAAGAATGCAGGTGAAAGCACTTCCTGAGGCCATGCAGCAGCACAGGGAGGATGGAGAAGCTGGAAATGTTCCCCCCAACCCAGCTCCATCCCAGGATGGTTACTCTCCTCCCCCAGCCCCATCATCACAGCAGTGAGAGCACATCCCACTAGTTACAGCTGTGGAAGCTCGATGGAGCTTAGCACCTCTGAACATCTTCTTGCAGGTGTTGGAAACTTCAGCAACGAGAAACCAAAGTGACGTGCAGAGGCTCTGATTAACTGAATGGCTCAGCTTCCTCCAGGTTGCTCCCAGGAGGCAGGCCCATGTTGGCAGAGCCTCCCCAGCATCCTCCGACAGAAGGTAACCTCCTGCCTGTCCCCTCAGCAGCATCTCTGAGGGCACAAGGAGCCCTTGCTGCCAGCCTGGCTCTGTGGTTAGCTCACATAGCAAGGTCAGGCAGCAGGTGAGTGTTTCTCACTCCTTTGGCTACTTCAGACTTGCCAGCAGGATTTGTGCGGTGGCTTGACTGCAGCCTCCCCACTGGCGGCAAGAGAGACACCAGCCAAGTGCTTACCCTGCCCAGTTGTCAGGTGGTGCCTGCTTCTCATGTCTTGGTGCTCCTGCTCCACTATATGGTAGAGACTAATGCCCAGAGCTACCCTGTCCAAACAGAACTCAAGGCAGATATTTCTTCTGGGAAAAAAAAAAAAATCCATCTTGTGCGTAAAGACTGTATGAACTAAGATTTCACTGGAAACTTCAGCTCAGCCATTAGCTACTTTTTGACCTCTTCTTTTTGTAATGGAAGGTGAAGTCTTTTGAAACTGAAGTTACTTTTATGTGGACACATGAAGAGTCTAGTCTAACGAGTGAAGGAAAGAAATGGCAGAACCCAGGTCAACCCAGATGAAGTACTTGCTGTAACAGAGCAAGTTACTGATGGGAAGCTAAGATTCTGCTGTTGAGCTGGTTACAGTTTCTTATCAGCAGGTTTTTTATGTAAGTGTGTATGTATCTCTACAGGGACATAATGTGAGAGTGCATATGCTTTATACATATACCTGTATAAACCACCTATGATGGGTTTTGCCCCATGCTCAGTGCACAGTCCAAACTGGAAGACTCAAACACCTGTAAGTACCAGAACTGTCTTCCCAGAAAGATCTTATTTTGGCTACCGAAGATCACATATTGCAGCTTTAATCTTTTATGTCTGACTTTCTATGCACACTTCTGGAGCCTGTCAGCATTGGCAGGAATAGTTGATTGCATGGGGGGAACTGAGGGTAAAATGTATTAGAAATACATGATTCGAAGGCAGGTGGGTGCAATCATCAAGGGTGGAGGCTGAAGTACCTGGACAACCATGGTTAGAGGTGGTCCTCATGCAGAATAACAAAGCATATGTGGGGACAGGGGACATCTCACTTCCTTTGAAATGTTCTCCTTTCCTTGGCTTTGCAACAGGTAGGGCTGTGTATGGAAGCCGTAACTTCTTCACAATAACCAGTATTGTTCTTTCATTACTTCAAGGTTACAGGAGATGGAGACTTAAATGAACAGTAAGAAGACCACTTGATAAAAATCACACAGCCTGGTGGGTACACCAAAAACAGGTGGAAGATAATCCTTTGTGGAAAATGATCCTTCTCCCACAAACATCTGAGCAAACAATGGTAGTGTGAGAAGGACTGTCTCATACAATGGAGCTTCAAGTTTGCTCACAAAAACATCTGTCTGTTGAAAGCACTCAGAACTCACACTCTCAATCACATTAGAGTTTCTTCCTCCTACACGTGTCTTAAATCTAGTGATGCAACCATCGGTGCCAAACTGCAAAAGAAAACTCTCTGGAAGACCTCTCTATGAGGAAAACACAACTTTTGTTTTTAAGCAACTAGAGTTAAAAAATACACCTACAGAAAAATAAAACTACCAAAAAAAAATATCTCAGTCTTGGCTAAACTGATATTTTAAAAGAACAACACTGTGTTGAAGATAAAGGTTATACAGTTTCAAGTATCTCTCTCCAAGGAAACAGATACCTTTTGAAGCATCTTTGGAGAAAGCTGTTTTCTTGATGAAGAAATGTTTTTCCTCCAGGTACACAACGGAATATAAGATCAAATAGTGCAGCTTTTTCCAATGCTAACTAGACTCACCAGCAGGAGACTCTGGAAAAGAAACCTGTCCTGCACAGGAATTTTTCAGCAGCCATGCCTCTGTATTTAGAAAGCAATAGTGACAATAAACCCCCCAAAATGGGTATGTTTGAACTCAGGATTAATCTAGAGTTTAAAATCTCTCTGTAGCATTTCAGAATTTATTTGCTCTGATTTTCTTTGATTTTATTAATTTATTTGTTTATTTATTGCATATTTAAGGCTGCCATTTCTTGCATGTTCCAGCATAAATCAGGAAAAATAAATGGGGAAATTAAGATAAGAAATCCAGATGAAGAGAAAGAGAACAGGGACCTTCTTTCTGGGACAGAAAGCTCTGCATGGCTGGAGGGAAACTGCACTGTACAAATTTAGTTGGTGTTGACAGTCAGTGCCTGGGATCTCTTCTGCATTTGAGAACTTCTCACCGACTCTCCAAACACAAAGTAATTAGATAAATATGGACTGGGTTTCTCAAAAATCAAACAGCTGAACAGGCTGCATGACTAACATTAGATAGCAATGCACAAACAGCATCTGGGGGGAGCAGTCCTGGATGCTAACCTTTGGAAACACATCTAAAATACGCAGATCACAGTGAAAACATATGGTCAGATAGGAAAAAATAATAAATAAAAAAAAATAAAAAAAAAGAAAAAGAAAAAGAAAAGAAAAAGAAAAAAAGTGTCCTTTAAAGGGCATTTCTGAAGATGAAGTTGATTTTGGAGGATATAAATAGTATGGGTTTCTACAGCAGAATTAGTTAAATGCAATCTTATGTGGAACACAGCCAACTATTGCACATTCAGAGTGGAGAAAGAATTATGCTAATACCTTCGGAAGAAATACATGGTTGTTTTTAACCCTATGGTATTGGCAGGAAAGGGAACACAAAGTCCTCCCCATGTTTTCCCTCTTTCATGAGATATCAAGGGAACCAAAAAGTGAGGATGAAATCACTACAGGAAGGGCTCTCCAGTGGGGTTGGACTGCACTCTCACTGTGAGAGCAGAAAGCAAATACCCTATTCAGTGCTGCGCTTTAGGGAACAGACCAGGGAAGCCTGACCCTCCCATCCTGCTCTCCCTTTACACAGAACATACAGACTACTTAGCAGAAAGCCAAAGCCAGAGGCCTCCTTGCTTGTTACACTCCAGGCATAATTCACTAGTAACAGCTTCTTGACAGACAAAAAAAAAATATAATTTGGATTCCCATGCAACCAAATGGGGTTTCCTGAAAACAGGTATGCAGTCAGTGATGCAGTCCATGCTCCCCTGCAACAGTATCCAGTGGCCCTGTATCTTATGTCATGGGCTAGAAAAACAGAAACCCCATGAGATGCTCTAACACAGCCTTGTGCTCTAACTCCCTGGGTCAGGTAGAAAAGCAAACACCAGTTTGGGGTTTAGCTCTCAGGAAAAGGGATTTAAAGAGCAGTGGAGCCAGGAGGCTGCTGGAGTTCAATGGCATCCATAGCATCATGGGGCAGAGAAGAGAGCCAGCATGGTGGCTGGTGAATTTGCAGTGTGCCTAACCTCACATGCAAAAATACTCAGAAAATTAGGGGAAAAGGAACTTCTAGCTCCAGAAGCAAAAAGGTACCCCACATAGGACTGTCTCCTGACTAGCCAGGCACATAAAGGATAGTAACTAATTCAATTCCTTTATATGGAGTGAAATTGCAGATTGAAATTTTATCCCTAAGTGAATTTGACACTCAAACTGGGAGAAAACTCAAGGGAGGAAAACCCCTCTTTATGGATCCCTGAGCTTGGATTAGAGGCAGGGAACTCTTCTTGTAAAATCACTCATTATGTCCAGCCACCCAGATGGAAAATCAAAACAGACTGAAACTCCTTGAGAAAAAATGCTCTTCCTCCAAGCCCAGATATGAAGTCAGTTCATTTTCAGCACCTAATTAATTTCCTGGTCTCAGTTTCTATTTCCCCCTCAATAGCTTGGGGCAGGTACTTTTCCTGTAACCTTAGAGGAAGATGCCCACAGACCACAGCAAGGAGGGTGGGCTGTGAGCTTGCACCAGAATGTGGGCATGGTCCTTCCAGCCTCCGCTCTGGCCTGGGAGTGGGAAATGTACCTTCTTACAATCAAGATGATGCTATAGGAAATCAGATTCTTAACTCATCAACTGATTTTAAATCACACTGAAGACACAGAAATTCACTTGCTGTCAGTCTGCCAGTGAGACACAGTCAGCCTGAAGGTGCCTGGACAATGAAGCACGGACTTTCTCATTATATTGCACAGTTCTCTGCTAGAGGCCAGGAACAAGAACATTTGTGTCATGATTGTTTGAAGTTTATTTCTTCCTTTTGCTGATTTCTGGCATTTTCTGCTCCCGGAAGCTGGACTTGTTTGCATGCTTGTTAACTGCTGAGCATTGCTTTGGGCCAGCACTGTACAGACAATTAAGACCCTGAAACAATCTAACACTGATCATATTCTTAACTTCAAGCATGTAAGTTAAGTCACTAGACCTAATGAAACACTTAAAATGAACCATAGGCATAAATGCTTTATTATGGCAAAAAGAAAGTGGCACTATGTTAAAGAACTAAAAGCTCTATTTAAATCCATCCCTAATCCTAACAGCAATTAAGCAGATGGTTAACTTTAAGCATCTGCTTAAGTCTAACTGGAGTCACATTAAATGGTGTCTTTCAAAATAGAACTCCTGTAGAAATATCTGTATATGCCAGCATCAAAATCTAGCTTTTTGCTATTAATCATCTGTTCTCTTCTTGCAGTGTTTCCTTTCCATCAGATTGGATGTGGGAGAGGGTGACATGCACTGTTTGAAATAGCTGAGGACAGCTGTATTAACTCTGACCGCCAGCAGTACGACATTCCTCCTATGAAGCACAGATCTTTGGATATTTTATGCATGCTTGTTATTTTAATTTTTTAAAAATAAATATTTAATTAAAAAGCCCTTTTCCATATGCTCTAATTAGAAATTTTCTGCTTGGCTTACTCAAAAACAGCTGAAATGATGAACTACTATTTTTTCAATGATTATTATTATTTTTGGTATATTTGTAAGTCTCAGAGAGACTTAGATGTTGGGAAAATTGGATGATTAATGTTAAAGGGAAAAAAAGTCATTTAAAATGAGAAGATCTGGATGTGCTTCATAGAACTCGCTTTCCTTTTTGGGGAAGTAGAAGCACAGAAGCAGGGGCTGAGTGCGAGCTCTGTGTACAGCTGCTATCAGCCTAACACAGAACTTAGAGTCCATCCAGTGAAGGAAACCTGCCTGGATTTCAGTGTACCAAATTGCTTGGCACACTGAAATATTTCTAAATAATGAATCTGTTTATACTGCCAGTAAGTTACAGAATTCACTGTATCATAGTTTTGCTCAAATAAGTATTATGTTTGGAAACCCTATTTTAACTACTGAAGTAATAGTTTTAAAACTAGCACTGATGTTATGATGAAATTGTTAGTTTGTCTTTACACTACATTTTTTTTTTTTTGGTGGCATCCTGGTATCTCTCCATAGAAGATGAGCATCATGTAAAACAAATGCTTTTTTTTTTTTTTTTTTTTTTTTTTTTTGTCATTATATCCCAATTTTAGCAGAAGTGTAGTTTTTTATGATAAGTATTTAAAGCCTCAGGTCCTTTGATTAGATAGAAATTTCATCTGTCTTTTCATTAAAAGGAGATCATCTCCTCCTTGTTTGTTAAAGGAGAGGAAGCAATAGCACATTACTCCTTGGAGGCCCTGAAGGCAAACAAAAGAACTCAACTTTTATTTATTTTGAACCTGGGGTTTTTAATCCAACCTCAGATTTGTTTTCAGATCTCATTTGCAGTTTCTTTAACATGTGTGGATGTAATACTGAAAATCCCCTGATAACTTATGCAATATTTACTACATTTTTGCATTGAAACCTAGCAATATGGCAGAGTATAATATTTATAGCAGTATGAACTACTCTCCTGTAGGTAAAGCAATTTCTATCTATTTACTCATTCTCTGCCTTCCATGGGAATACTTATGTTATCAAATTTGATGCTCAGCTATGCTTACTGGAACATAGCTTTTTTGTTGTTTTATTTTATATCTGTACCAAGTTCACCAATGCCAAGCAAAGCAGTGCTGTGGTCATATTAATTGGATGTAAGTGCATGATACTACTGAAGGAGGTGATCTTGCTCCTTCCTCAGCACTTAGCCACACACTTCCATCTCTCTAGTGCCTGTGCTAGTGTATACATGTATATGATCTAGTATAATCTTGCAGGAAATCGATCAATTTCCTGATCCCATTTTCTGCACAAAAGTACAAAAGTTGGAGGTAAGACTGAGCAGCTGGAGATGGGAAAGAGGATGCTGCTGTGCATCTCAGAGGCAAATGTTATTTTTGTCAGATTGAAGGGATCAAGGCAAAGGGACTGGTTTGCTTAGGTAATTCTGGACCAAATGTGAAGCTACTAGAGGAACAAAACTTCAATAAGAATGTGGTCCATGTCTTCAGAGTAAAGATTACAAATTTCAATAAGAAAAAATATATTTGTCCAAGCTAGATAGTTTTTCTGAGCCTCACATCTCCATTTTCTGGAGAACTACAAATTCCTCTAGTTCAAATACTGCTCAAGGACCACCCTGTAACTATGGAAAATCTGGCCTCAGCTGACCAAGGCATTTCAGATGACATAACACAGCCTGACTGAAGCCTTCTGAAGGTGGCAAGCAGTTGTGTCTGCAGCCTTTGGGTAAAATAATGCTGAGACATGGGATGCCAAGCAATTAATTAC